CACACACACACACACACACACACACACACACACACACACACACACACCTGTGCCCTGAACTGACTGGTTTTTTAAAACCAGTTCAACAAATTTGATGTTAGGCCCATAAGTCCATATTTATTTCAGTTATAATGTGAAATCTGAGTAATCCACTGTAAGTTTTTTAATTATAATGATAAGGAGAAATTGTGTCAAAGAAAAAACCTTGTCACCCAGTTATTTGTATTATGTTGATGTCATCATTATCAGCTATCCTATATTGAAATATGTGTGCAATATAGCCATACTTTAGGTATTTTGAAACACCTTTGTATAAGATTTTTTTATGAGATTTTATTTGGAATGGTTACAAAGGGCACTTTAATGAAATGGATGTTTTATTTAGTACCTATCCCTTTACTTAAGTAAATATTTCAGTTCTGAATAAAACATACATTAGGATTTTTGCCCTCCCTGATTCTGGCCATAACAGCTACACAAATACCAGGAAGTCCAGACAGTTGAATTTATTCACCAAGACCATCTTTTCTTGATCTTAACCTTTTTTTTTTTTCCTCATTTAGATAAGAAAGGAGGTTTTTGAACTTCTGGAAACGGGAGTCCTCAGTCTATGCAAGTCTGAATCTTTGAAGCTGGGCCTTTTCTAAGTCTGGGTCCTAATGAAAATTCCAGTTTTTATGGTGGGATTTGCATCTCATTTAATAGCTCTGGAATATTGCAAGGACTCAGTAAATATCAGCTGTTGTTGTATTACATTAACTGCATCACCAGATGAATCACTAGAAATTTTTGGTGGAGATTCTTTGACAAAAATGAAGCTGTCCTTTGCCAACTTCTTTGTATAATAAAGTATCACCAGCTTGTGTATGATTTTTGTTGAGCAGAGTGAATTTTTCTTTCACCAACTGGTCTCTGATGTGACTTTGCAGAACGAAAAGAGCATCTGGGCAACCTTAGCCAGGCCACTTCCCTCTCTGAGCCTCAGTTTCATCAGCCACAAGATGGGAATGATATCTCCTAGGATTGTTGAGGCTTCCATGTGATGGTACTTGTGGAACAGACTCCTAAACTGAAGCCTGGTCCCGGTGTGAAGGGTGCAGTGGTAGTGATAGAAAGAGTTGCAGGTGTATGTGGCACTTTGCAAATATATGAAAGATAACAATATAACTACAATTATCTTAATTATTTTGTACCTTTTTATTTTAAAAGAATCTCAGATTTACAGAAAATGTCTGGTAATAATACCTGGGGAAGCTATCTACACAGCATTAGAGAGATGAAAGCAAGCACTTAAAAAATTACTCTCTGAAATTTCTCATGATACCACAATATAACAACTGCTAGCAAATTGTCATATCCATATCAATCTAGAACTGTGGATCTTCAACCGGGGGCAATTTTGTCCCCCAGGGTCCATTTGCTGTGTCTGGAGATATGTTTGGTTGTCACACTGGGAGGATACTACCAGCATCTAGTGGGGAGTTGTGACTGGCAGTTATTTAGTAGGTAGTATCCTTTAGCCAAGGATGCTGCTCAATGTTCTACCATCCTACAGGCCAGCCCCCACAATAAAAAAGTGTCTGGCCCAAAACACTAATCAGTAGTACTGAGGGTAAGGAAACCCAATTCTAGAAACTTGAAAAGCAGAGTATATGAAGTATATCTGTAGGCTTGAAGTAGGTTTATTTAGAAGAGAAATATGTAAATATAAAAATATAAAGTGAGATCTGGCTATCTCAGGAATGTTGCCCCAGAAATGTGTTCCCTTAATACCTGTGATGGTTAATTTTATGTGTCAAGTTGACTGGGCCAGAGGTTGCTCTGATAGTTGAGCAAATAGTATTCTGAGTGTTTCTGTGAGGGTGTTTTTGGATGAGGTTAACATTTAAAGGGGTGGACTTTAAAGCAGATTGTCCTCCCTCATTTGGGTGAGCCTCATCCTGTCAGTTAAAAGCCTAAATAGAACAAAAGGTTGACACTGCCCACCCCCACACACCCTCCTCAAACCACTCCCCTCCCCCGCTCCCCGCCCCCGCCCCGCCCCACAAATAAGAGAGAATTCTGATTCCAACTGAAACATTGGCTCTTGCTGTCTGATAGCCTTCAAACTACGACCTCAGCTCTTCCTGATTTTACAGCATATTTTGGCCTTTAAGACTCAAACTGAGACATCAGCTCTGCAGATTTTGGACTTGCCAGCCTCCTCCATAACCACGTGAGCCAATTCCTTCTAATAAAATCTCTTTACATTCATCCAATTAATTTTGTTTCTCTGAAGAGCCCTGACTAATATACTAAATGAAAGTTCTTCTACTTTGAGATTTTGGTTAGTTTGGTTTTGTTGTTTTATAAAAAGCCTAAGAAATTCTGTTCTTACAGATTTGTTACCATAATGACTCTTTTGCTAGGTGTTATCTATGTAGTATAATCCCACCCAATGTTGGACCAAGTTCCCAGATGGCAAACATACCTGATTATTTTGTAGGCCAACCATGCACATGTAATCTAATCTTGTAGGCTGTTGCTGCATTTTCAACCCAAGTTCTTGACCATGTTTATTGAGTAAAACAAATAGTCTATGTGAATTAGAAGTGTTCGCCACCATCTTCTCACACAAGGCTGATACCAGCAGCCATACTCGTCACCGTCTCCAAGCCAGATTCAAGTGATGTGCTGAAAATGACCCCCTGGTATTTGCTTTTCCCAGCTTTGCAAGTGGGAAGCTTTGACTCTGAACTGGATACCGTCTAGTGTAAGTATTGGCATTTGTTTTGTATGCTTTTAAACTAGGTACACCTGCCAAAGTCATTGCCTTCTTTAATATAAAAATAGTCCGGGGCACCAGCGTGGCTCAGTCAGTTAAGCATCTGACTCTTGATTTTGGCCAGGTCATGATCTCAGGGTTATGATATCGAGCCCTGCATCGGGCTCCACGCTGGGTGTGGAACCTGCTTAAGATTCTCTCTCTCCCTCTCTTTCTGCCCCCCCTTAAAAAAAACAAAATGAAATAAAAATAAAAATAGTCCAGCATGGCTTCTCTGCCTAATGTTAATAAAAAAGGAAGATTAGAAACTTGTCTATTTTTTTAAATCCTAAATCTATATCTTAAATACATTTTAAAGAAAAGGAAGTAATTATTAACAGCCTAATGAAATGTTAGGGGATTTCTGATAAATGAGAGAAACCCCAAGCCAAACTAATAATACCATATTGCAATATTGAACATTTAATTGATTATCTATCTTGCTCTTCCTTTCTCTCGCCTCATTTGAGCTACTCCAAAGCACGTGCTTGGAAAAAATTTAGGAGGAGATGTTTTTAATGTACATTTTCTACTAGAGTCTTTCTTATGGATGAAAAAATGGGCACCTGCTGAGATTAGACATCTGTGTTCCACAATCCCTGTTTGCTTCCCTCTTATTATCACAAGTAGCAAAGTTAGCTGTAATCTGAGAGCATTTTTCCAATTTAGTTTATATTTATGTTAGAAGCAGCCATGTTTGGAAAAAAGCTGGTAGCCCTAACTTTTATTTTTTTGTATTACTCTCCAAGGCTTTAGGCAAGTTCTCAAAGATAAATCCATTTTCCCCCTTTCAGGAAGGGCTTGCCTTGAATTAGTCACCACATCCCAGAAATAGCCCATGATAACTGCTTCCCAGTGTGGCCAGATGCTGGTCTGTGCAGACCCTGCTGGGGACTATTTCTCCTAGGCATGGCATTTAGCACACATTTTTTGAGCCTAAAGTGAACTCTACCAATGGCTAACTGAAGAGAGCTGTGTTCCTGCTGAATCTCAGGTTCAGTTAAAGAACAGTTCTGGGAAGTAGACTGCAACTACAAAGGAAAGTTCATCTAATTCTTAATTTAGCACTACCATTATGCAGTATTACTAGGAGTAATAATGTTATAAATGCCTTGGAAGTGTATCTCAGTCACCTGCAGGACCAGAATGAAGAGGACGTCCAAGGACAGCCGGTGCAAATTGCCAGACAACACTGCCTTGAAGCAGCAGCAATTGCCTGCCTACCAGCTACAGCTCTCAGCCACCGGAGTCCTCTCCGGCTTTTTTGCCACAGGAGTGTTCTGCCTTGGTGTGGGCATCATCCTTATATTGTCTGCAAAGAGTATCAAGGAAATAGAGGTTTGTCCCATCTTACATTTTTAATGCAGATTCTAAGAATTTTCAGCTTTGGGACTATAAATGAGTGACCAGTTTGAGAACACAGCCCCTCAATAGATGAGACTAGAACATTCCTTTTTCAATCACCGGTGCAGATGGTGGCAGCCTCTGTATGTTGGCTTTATTCATCCCTACTCCCTCTTGAGGACAATCACTCTCACACTGGTCCGCTCAGCCATTCATTTCCAGGAGCGTGGCAAAGTCAGAAGTTTTTTAAACTGGTGGAGTACTGACCAAGGATTGATAGAGGTAGGAGAAGGAGAGGCAGGGTCAAATGACTGCCAGATGCCCATGAATCATATGGATAAAAAAGTAAAGAGACAAAGAGGTCTTCAGTTTTGTCCCACTTTCAAGCATTTTGTCTTTCCCTTTGCTAACGAACTCCGAGATCATTACTTTAATGGAGGAAAGGCAAGAACCCGAATCTTTCTGGCCTCTTAGGGATACTTAGCAAAATTAACTAAATTCTACTCAAGACTGAGAAAAGCCGAAGCTAAGGGCATACCTCGCTCCATTACAAGCCTTTGCCAACTTGATTAACAAGCTGTTAGAGGATGAGAACCTGAGAAGCTGGTCTGGGGAGGGGACATAAGAGTTGGCCTAAGGTTAGATCAGCCTTGCTCGCATTCAGTCTAACAAATTAAGCAAATGTTTAATTCAAATCAGCTCTGAGCAGATTACTGGGCATCTCAGTCTATGACCTCCACTCTGAAGGCAGCCATGGAAAGCTGATCTATTACCTCTCCTGACATGGCTAGCAGCAAAGTTATGAAGGCCAAGGCTGTCAACATTGACTTAACATTCATGAGTGTCTGAAAGTGCTAAGAGTTCTGTTGGGTTTGCAAATGAGTAAGATAAGTTAAGGGTTGATTCCTGCCCTCAATGAGCTAATGATAGAGTAGGTAAGGTAGTGTGTGATAAGAACAGAGAGCTCAGCCATGGTTGCCTTGTTCACCACATCCACAACCCCTTCCTTGCACGTTGCCCAGTACATAATAGGCACAAACTTAGTGAAAGAATGGATTAGGGCAAATAGTGAGGACTCTAAATAGGAAAACCTCATTTCAGGTCCCACTCCTCCTACCAAATCACACTACTCTAATGCCTTTCTACTTATATTTTCTGCTCCCAGCTCTCAGCAGTTTATCTCCCCAGGAATTAAATGCCCCTAGGTCCTTTTGAGTCCTGCAGTGTGAGATATAAACGACCAGGCCCCACAAATAGCAGATGAAAAATGGCAGGAGAAAATTAAACTTGCCTTACTGAAAAGCATAGCATAAGTGACAAGGTTGTTTCATTTCCACAAACAGCTCATCCTATTTACTTTTCTATTTTCTTCTTCACCAACTCCTTTCTTTCTGGTTTTAACCCCTTTCCCGTGTCTTCCTTACCTCTTCCCTTCTGGTTATCCACCCTCACTCACTGTGAAGTGCAGCCTCCAGTAAGAGGCAGCCATTGCTAAATGATGTCACCTCATGCATGTGAAGGGAACCTCACTCCATGGTTTACTAAGGCCACTCTGCAAACAGCTTTCAACAGAATGATTTTTTTCATGTTAAGGAGATTTTCCAATAGACCTTTTTTCTGAAGTCACTTAGGATAGGTCGATTTCTAACATTTTTCTTGTATACAAGAAACCCAGAAACCACTGTGATAGTGAGATTCTCTTTTGCACATGGATGTATTTCAT